GAACGTGATATGACCGTAAGCCAAGAATAAATCGAAAAAGCGGTAACGAAAGAGATAGATAGATAGATAGATAGATAGATAGATAGATAGATAGATAGATAGATAGATAGATAGAGGAAGGGATAGATAAAGAAGAAAAAAAAGATACAAAGAGAGAGAGAGATAAAGAAAACGAGACATGAAGAAAGAGAGACAAAGAAAGAGTAACAGACAGATAAAGAAAGAGAGGAAGGTAAAGAAAGAGAGAGACACAGTTAAAGAGAGATAAAAAAGAAAGAAAAAAGAGTAAAAGAGAGAGACAGATAAACAAAAAGCGAAATACAAAGAAAGAGAGACACAGATAACGAAAGAGTGAGAGATAGATAAAAAAGAACGATAAAGATAGAGACAAAGAAAGTGAGAAAGATAAAGAGAGAGATAAAGAAAGATAGAGAATTAAAGAAAGAAAGATGAAGAAATAGTAGAGATAAACAAAGAGTGGAAGATAAAGAGAGAGAAACAAAGAGAGAGAGAATGAAAGAAAGAGAGAAATAAAGAAAGAAAGAGAGAGAGATAAATAAAGATAGAGAGTTAAATAAAGCGAGGGATAGCTCAGAAGTAAATGGACAATAAAGAGAATATAAAACACATACCAATGTATAAATCAAAGATAGAGAGAAACATGTAAGACTTATAACAGAAAAAAACTAGTGAGAATAACTCAATAAAATGCCGAAAAATGAAGGAAAGAAAAGAAAGACGTACCTTATGCAGAAGGAAAGAGACATACAACTAAAGAACGAAAACAAAGAAAGCAATACTAAAAAAATGAAAGCTAAAATGAAAGAAATCTCTCGTAAAATAAAACAATCAAAATGGCGGATGCATATTTGGCAAGATGGCGGAGCGTAAGCGAATATTAACGGTTTTAACGGAAGTGTAGAGAATAAACGTTAAACCAACCGAAAGGGATTTTGAAAGAGAAAAACGGCGAGAATGATAGAATTAGAAAAAAAGAAGAAGAAAAAAGAGTAAAAAATTAAAATCTATAGAAAGAAATAGAGAATGAAAGCAATAAAATGAACGTAAATAAATTTGAATAACTGACCAGCCGATACGGAAAAACCATGGAACAATGAAAGAGACAGGAAAAACGTATGGGTGATAAAAATGAATGATTCACTGAATAGAGAGAGATGAAGTGTGTGTGTGGGGGGGGGGTAGAATAAAGAGAACAAAGTGAATGATAGCTAGAGTAAGAGACAGGGAAAGGAGAGATGTAGAGAGATAAGAGAAGGAGAAAAGAACAGATATACAGGGAGACGAGAGAGAAGTGGAGAGAATGACTGAGCAGAGAAAAACGGAAGAGAGAGAAAGAAAGCGTGCGAGAGAAAGGAGAGAGAGAGAAGGATAATGAATGCAATGAAAAGGTAGATGTGAAAGAACGTTTCAGAAAAACTAAGGGAAGATGTGAGTAAATTGATCGGTATTAATAGCTATACATCCGTAATAATATATATATATATATATATATATATATATATATATATATATATATATATATATAATTGAATATGACAGATACGTACGTATGCACGTAAATTAACAGCGATGGATGAAGTGGCAAATCAATCCCATCTAAAAGATCAATCGATAAACAGATCGATAGAGAGGAATAAACTTAGAAATATTGATCGATATATAAATATGAGATAGATAGATAGATATGAACAGACTGATACACACACACACACATACATATATATATATATATATATATATATATATATATATATGTATGTATGTATGTGGGGGGAAAAAAATGCCGAAGTAAGCAAAAAAAAAGAAAATAAAAAATCAAAGAATATGAGAATGGCCAGAGAGAAAGAAAGAAAAATTGAAAAGCCTGACAGAACAAAGTTATAAAAATGTTAAGAAGAAAAGAGAGAACCAAGATGTCATAATGTTAAGAAAGAAACAAAGAAAAAGAAAGAAAGAAAGAAAGAAAAAGAAAAAAAAGAAAAAGAAAGAGTAACGAAGATTATGAAAAAGAAAGAAGAGTAAGAAAAAAAAAAAAAAAACAAGGAAAGAAAAAGAAAGAAGGAAAGGAAGAAATGAAAGAAAGTAAGAAAAGAAAGGAAGAAAGAGTAAGAAAGTGTAAGAAAAAGAAAAGAAGTAACAGTAAGAAAAGATAGAAAAATGAAAGAGTAAGAAAAAGAAAGGCATGAAATAAAAAAAGTGTAAGAAAAGGAAGAAAGTAAAAGTAATGAAAGAAAAAAGAAAGAAAGAGTAATAAAACGTAAGAAAAAGAAAGAAAGAGTAAGAAAAAGTAAGAAAATAAGAGAAAGAAAGAGAGAGAGAGAAAAAAATTGAGAGTAAGGAGGAAGAGTGTGAGGATGTCAAGAGAGAACATAAACAAGAAGCTACCGTATAGATATATTATGTTGTGGAATTGAACCAATTGCGAAAGAGGAATCGACGAGAGTGAGAGAGAAAAACAAAGTAAAAAAAAAAGATGAGAGAGAGAAAAGAAAAAAGAAAAATTTTGAGAAATAAAAAAATATAGAGAGAGTAATGGAGTCAGAAGAGGCAGGGTCTGAATAAATGGTGTAAGAGATTATGCGATGGCAGCGTAGGAGGAGGAAGAGGACGGCTGGGGTAGGCGTTTGGTTGTGTGATCGGATGATGGACGGTGGGGAGCTGGGCGATCGGACTCACTGAATGGTGAACATTTCAAAGACTAAATAAAAAAATCGATTGAGGCTAATAATTCTTTTATTGATGTTCGTCATTATAGGAATTGATAATCTCCTTGCTTTTAAGACGCCATTCTCCTTTCTAAAACAACAACTAATAATAATAATAATAATAAAAAAATAATAATAAAATAAATTTTCTCCTATTTAATAAGGAATAAAAATCAAATTAATAATGTTAAAGCCTATTAAAATGACTAATTGTTTGAAAGAATAAAAACCTTTATAATAATCAGGAAAGTTAATAATTATTATAATAATTCAAAAACTATTAAATAAGAAAAAAAAATTTAATAAGGAATAATAATAAATAAAATAATAATAATAATAATTGTTAATTTGAAAAACTATTAAAAAAGACCTGGAAAGAAAATTTTTAAAATTTAATAAAAAGAATAATACCAGTAATAATTTTGGAATTATAAAAAAAAAAACAAAACACAATTGAATTATTAAAATAGGATGAAAATTGTCTTATTAAAAACACTATTAAATAAAAAAAAAAAAAAAAAAAAAAAAAAATAATAATAATAATAATAATAACCTGCCTTAGGTCTTTCCGCAGACTTGGTGAGAAACCATAGGAAATAATAATAATAATAATAAAATAAAAGTCAAAAATACAAGGACCTTGAAATAGAAATCTCGAAAATGTGGCATATGGGAACATCAATAATCCCTGTTGTAGTTGGAACCCTAGAACTGGTTGGAAAAGATTGCAGTAGGCTAATAATTGAAGGGATTCCTGGAAGTCCATGCCTCAAGGAGATACAAAAAATTGTTCTGACAAGTACAGCCCACACTTTACGAAGGGCTTTATCTATGTAATTTTTTTTTTTTCAGTGGAAAGTGTCATGACGCCATTTCTAACCTTAGGTCCCTGGGCGGGACCCGGAAAGAAATGTGTAAACGCCAGAAATCAAAGAAAATAAAAATAATAATAATAATAATAATAATAATAATAATAATTGTAATATAAAGTACAGTTCACACCTTATGAAGGCCAATATCTATATTAAAATATGTGTAATCTATCTTGTCTAATTTTTAAAAATAATTCTCAGTGGAAAATGTCATGATGCCATTCCTGACATTAGGTCTCTAGTTGGGACCCGAAAAAAAATTATTAATATATAATAAAAATTGTCCATAAAGTTGGTATGCACTTTAAAAAAATTATAACTTTAAAGTGCAACGAACTTTATGGACACCCTGTATAAATAATAATAATAATAATAATAATAATAATAATAATAAAATCGAAATCTCAAAAACGTGGCATATGGGAACGTCGACAATCCCTGTTGTTGTAGTTGAAGCCCTCGGATTGGAGGGAAAAGATTCTAGTAGACTCATTGAAGGATTCCTGAAAATCCATGCCTCAAAGAAATACAAAAAATTGTTCTCAAAGTACAGCCCACACTTTAAGAAAGGGCTTTATCTATGTAATTTTTTTTTTTTTGTTTGGAAAGTGTCATGATGCCATTTCTAACCTTAGGTCCCTGGACGGGACCCTGCAAGAAATGTATAAAATCCAGAAATCAAAGGAAATAATAATAATAATAATAATAATAATAATAATAATAATAATAATCTCACATATTTGGCACATGGGAACATCAACAATTCCTGTAGAATTTGGAGCCCTGGGATTGGTTGGAAAGATTCCAGTGAACTCATTGAAGTGATTCCTGGAAGCTCATGTCTTAAAAAAATAAAAAAAAAAAATCACAGTACAGCTCACACCTTACGAAAGGGCTTTGTCTATGTAAGATAATAATAATAATAATAATAATAATAATAATAATAATAATAATAATATAATAATGTGCGCTTGGAATGATAAAAAAGGAATATAATAACACATTGAAAAAATCCCTAGAAGTCCCGGCTTAAGAGAAATACAAAAAATTGGCTTGATAAGTACAGCCGGCACACTAAGAACTTTCTCCATGGAACGCTAGTGATATTATGGGAGTTAGCAAAACAAATCATGAAATGTAGCTATAACAACAGACTATTACCTGCTTTAGGTCTTCCCGAAACTTGGTAGGTCATGTGACCAGAGCAGAAATCGAAATATAATGACGTTAATAATAATAATAATAATAATAATAATAATAATAATAATAATAATAATAAATTACCAAGTAAACATAATGAAAAATTGCGTTGACTCCAAATGCAGATTCTTGATAAATATCCAGAAACAATTGACCATCTTGTATCAGGTTGCACATATAAAACTATATTTAGATAGAGTGGGCCAATATCTGTATTGGAAAATATGCAACTTTTATTACTATTGTTCTTATTTACTTTAGTTTCTGGTGTATACTAATTTCTTTCCGGGTCGGAAGGTGTGGGCTGTACTTGTGAGTACAATTTTTTCTATCTCCCCAAGCATTGACTACCAGGGATTCCTACATAGAGTCTGTTGGGACATTTTGCAATCAATCCGAGGGCTCCAACTACAACTCGAATGTCCTCATTCGCCACATTTTTGAGATTTCAATTTCAAGGCCCTTGTATTTTGATAGTTTTTTTTTAAGAAATTTAAAGATACATTGCAGTCTGCAGGAACTGTCATATCAATAAGGAGGCACATTTTGTCTTTGCGGTCTCTAATCAGGATGACAGGGCGATTAGCTTTGATTGTTTTCTCTGTGTGTATTGTTAAGTCCCATAAAATTGTTACAGGTTCTATCTCCGAGACCGGATCTGGGTGGTGTTCGTACAAATATCATGCAGTTTCATTTCCGTAAGAATTGCAGATTTTCTAGTGCATTCTAGCTAAATATAGTTTTATATTCAGTGGGTGCTAACACTGTGCAACCTGATACAAGATGGTCAATTGTTTCTGGATATTTATCACAGAATCTGCATCACACAATTTTTCAGTATGTGTGTTTGGTAATTTCTAGTTAGCAAAATCTGGTCCTGTGCAGTAAGTTTGGTTTGGTTTGTTTTGTTTTACGGCATATCAACCTCAACAGGTTATTTAATGCGCACACCATTTTTAGGATAGATTCATATGAATAGAATATGTATTCTTTGGTTTAGATTGGTTTGGTTTATTTTATTTTATGATATATCAACCTCAATGGGTTATTTTATGCCGACAACATTTTTAGGATAGATTCGTGTGAATAGAATATGTATTCTTTGCTTTAGATTGGTTTGGTTTATTTTGTTTTTCATATTCAACCTCAATGGGTTATTTAATGCCGACAACATTTTTAGGATAGATTCTTATGAATAGAATATGTATTCTTTGCTTTAGATTGGTTTGGTTTATTTTGTTTTACGGCATATAAACCTCAATGGGTTATTTAATGTTGACAATATTTTTTAGGATAGATTCGTATGAATAGAATATGTATTCTTTGCTTTAGATTGGTTTGGTTTATTTTGTTTTACGGCATATCAACCTCAATGGGTTATTTAATGATGACAACTTTTTTTTTTTCCTGATAATATTTTGTTTTGTCAAAAATCTATTTCTGGTAATATGTTTTTCCTAAAACATGTATTGCTAGTATAATTTTTTTTATCAAAAATATATTGCTGGTAATAGTTTTTTTTTCTTAAAAAAATTATTTCTGGTAATAATTTTTTACAAAGTATTTCTGGTATTAAAATCTACTTCTACACTTTCATAATGCTTTTTACCTTAGTTTCGGGGTTAACTATTTGCCCATAGCTGGGACCCTAACAGTTGCTACCAACCCGGGTCAGGGTGAACCTGGGAACACCAGCAATTAAGATGTCCCACGCTCCTCAAAATAATCCTGATCAGAGGCCTTGCTGCTGGACGTAGTTTATCGTCTTACCCAGGATGCGGGTTAGTAATGAATATGCATACACCTGTGTTCCACCTCACAGTAATATGATTGGCTGGTGTCAGCCATAAATACAGACTGACGTGGAGGACGCCTATTGCCTACGCCTATTGCCTACCACTACGACGAGGACCAGTCCATTACAGTTACCTGCTAGATTGTCCTACCTGGTTGCAGTAGTCGAAAACCACATTGCTACTTCGAACAAATATATCCCTTTCCGGGAAATATCAATCTTCATACCCAGGATGACCTGTGCAGTAAGAATAAAAACCTTCAGTTTCAGCTTTTAACCCTGCACTACGTAGCCACGGAGTTAAAAGCTGAAATTTATTATTATTATTATTATTATTATTATTATTATTATTATTATTATTATTATTTCCTTTGATTTCTGTTGTATACACATTTCCTTCCGGATCCCAACCAGAGACCTAAGGTCCGAAATGGTTTCATGACATTTTCACTGAACGTTTTTTAACCTAAGAGCTCACGCATTTTACATTGATAAAGCCCTCCGTAAGATGTGAGCTGTACTTTTTTTTTTTGGGGCATTTTTTTAAGGCATGGGCTGCCAGAAATCCCTTCAATGAATTCATCAAATTTTTTTTTTACCAATCAAACCGTTGTTTGCAATCACGACTGGAATTGATTAAAGAAGTCTTCATGTGACACTTTTTTTTTCGACTTTCACTTCAAGGTTCTTGTATTTTCATTGATTTTTGGCGATGTTCAGAAATGCATAACATTCAGCAGGAATTGCAGAATGTCAATAAGAAGGCACATTATGTCATTGGGGTATTTGATCACGATGTCTGGGAGATTAGCTTTGATTGTTCTATCTGTGTGTATTGTAAAGTAACATAAAATTGTTACAGATCCTATCTCCGTAATCGGGTCTGCGTGGTGTTCATATCAATTTCTTGCATTTTCCTTTCCTTAAAAAAAGATTTTCCAATGTAGATATTGGCCCACTCTGTTATTCCGTGTTTTATATTCAGTGGGTGACAATACCGTGCAAACTGATACAAGATAGTCAATTGTTACTGGATATTTATCACAGAATCTGAATTTTAGACTAACATAATTTTTCAGTATATATGTTTAGTAATTTATAGTTAGCAAGCATTAGTTCTGTGCAGCAAGAATAAAATTTTCAGTTTCAGCTTTTAACCCTGCACTAAGTAGCCACGGGGTTAAATGCTGAAACTTATTATTATTATTATTATTATTATTGTAGTAGTAGTAGTAATAGTCGTACTACTACTAATAATTGAACGTTTTCCTTCTGTTCATGCCTAAGTGTATAATACATTCCAATTATCTTGGTCTCTTGTTATCAGGCAATATATTCGAAATTATAAATCAATTTATTGTGTGTTCAGCAGCTCCGTCAAGCAATCAAATTTATATAGACATGAGTATAGATTATCGAAGTCAGCCTTTCATCTTTCGCTTGTATATTTTTAGCAATCAACCAGTTAATCATTTCATCGATTACCTTGACCAGTCGTCGTGCATAAACTAGATTATTTGCATATAATCGCAGACCATTGATATCTCATAATTCGCCTATCGACTTTTCGATGGCACCAGTTTGTTCAAAATGTTACCCCTTTGTAGTAAACATTATCAATACTATTATCATATTAGAATTCTTTTCGTTCCGTCATTAGATAGCACATGCGATACGCTTTGTGATAGCATGCCTGTCCCCATGTTCCCCAAATTCATGGTATAGTAGCAGCGGACAGATTAAACCCCTAACTGTGTTGTTTACTTCCGGCTAATGTCACTTTGGGTTACGACTATTAAGCAACATGGAACTCCTGTGGTGAGTACCTACTTGCCTCACGCACTGTCATTACCGCGGATAAATAATAGACTCTTCCGTTTTGACTACGAAGAAAAACAAGAAAAAGATATAGCAGTGACGCTGTTTGTCTTAATAATAATAATAATAATAAAAAACAGGTAGAAAAAGGAAAAGAAAAAAGAAAAGATAGAGCAAGCGATAACTTCCTCATGTGTCTAATCGCTGCTTCAGTAAAATGGAAACCTTTGTTAATTTCGTATATATTTTTATTTGTACCCTCTTACTTCTTTTTCGTCTGTATTCTTATTTGTGATTGTTATTGGAATATTTTATTAAACTCAAATATTTAACGATGCAATCAAGGAATTTCCACTTATGTTTTTATTGATTGATTGACTGGTTCGATTTCTACGATTTATTAAACCATTGCAGATTATTTAAAGCGAAAAAAATATTTTATATTGAAAGAATATTTTTGAGATAATAATGGTGATACAAGTCTTACTAATTAACCCCTAGTTGGGGGAGAAGAAATGGATTTATACCTTTCTCAAGGATATTGCTACTTTCTTTCCATCTATATTGTCTTCTTTCTTGTTTTCCTTTACTTTTTCCAATTTCCTTCTCTTTTCCTTCCTTCTTCAAATATCCTTTGTTCTTTCCTTCATTTTTCCTTCTTTATATATTCTCTTGCTCCCTCTTCTACTTTCCCCATTTCAGGTCTCTTTTACTCCCTTTTTTAAATGCCTTTTCTTCTTTCTCTTGGTTTTCCTTACTTCCTTAATTCAATACTTCCTTCTTCCCTTCTCTTTGTTTTATTTCCTTCCTTCTCTTGGCTTTCGTTCCTTCCTTCTTCCCTTCTCTTTATTTTCCTTCCTTGCTTCCTTCCTTCTTTTTGTTTTCCTTCCTTCCTTTCTTCCATCCTTCTTTTTGTTTTCCTTTTCTTCTCTTTGTTTACCTTCCTTTCTTCCTCCCTTCTTTTTGTTTCCTTTCCTTCCTTTCTTCCTTCCTTCCTTCTCTTTGTTTTCCTTCCTTCCTTTCTTCCTTCCTTCCTTCTTTTTGTTTTCCTTCCTTCCTTCCTTCCTTCCTTCCTTCCTTCCTTCCTTCTCTTTGATTTCCTTCCTTCCTTGCTTCTCTTTGTTTTCCTTTCTTCTTTCTCTTTGTTTTCCTTCCTTCACTTTGTTTCCTTCCTTCCTTTTCTTTGTTTTCCTTCTCTTTGTTTTCCTTCCTTCCTTCTGATTGTTTTCCTTCCATCCTTGCTTCTCTTTGTTTTCCTTCCTTCCTTCCTTCCTTCCTTCCTTTCTTTCATTCCTTCCTTCCTTCCTTCTCTTTGTTTTCCTTCCTTGCCTTTCTTTTTTTTCCTTCCTTCCTTCCTTCTTTCCTTCCTTCCTTCCTTCTCTTTGTTTTCCTTCCTTGCCTCTGTTTTCCTTCCTTCTTTGTCTTTGTTTCTTTCCTTCCTTCCTTCCTTCCTTCCTTCCTTCCTTCCTTGCTTCTCTTTGTTTTCCTTTCTTCTTTCTCTTTGTTTTCCTTTCTTCTTTCTCTTTGTTTTCATTCCTTCCTTCCTTTTCTTTGTTTTCCTTCTCTTTGTTTTCCTTCCCTCCTTCTGATTGTTTTCTTTCCATCCTTGCTTCACTTTGTTTTCCTTCCTTCCTTCCTTCCTTCTCTTTGTTTCCCTTCCTTCATTCTCTTGGGTTTCCTTCCTTCCTTCTCTTTGTTTTCCTTCCTTCTTTGCTTCTCTTTGTTTTCCTTTCTTCTTTCTCTTTGTTTTCCTTCCTTCACTTTGTTTCCTTCTTTCCTTTTCTTTGTTTTCCTTTTCTTTGTTTTCCTTTTCTTTGTTTTCCTTCCTTCTGATTATTTTCCTTCCATCCTTGCTTCTCTTTGTTTTCCTTCCTTCCTTCCTTCTTTCCTTCCTTCTTTCCTTCCTTCCTTTCCTTCCTTCCTTCCTTCCTTCCTTCCTTCCTTCTCTTTGTTTTCCTTCCTTGCCTCTATTTGTTTTCCTTCCTTCTTTTTCTTTGTTTCTTTCCTTCTTTCTCTTTGTTTTCCTTCCTTTCTTCCTTCCTTCTCTTTGTTTTCCTTCCTCCCTTCCTTGCCTCTATTTGTTTTCCTTCCTTCCTTCCTTCCTTCCTTCCTTCCTTCCTTCCTTCCTTCCTTCCTTCCTTTTGTTTTCCTTCGTTGCTCTTTTTGTCTCCTCCCTCTCTTTACTGCTTCTTTTTATTTCAATATCGTCTTTATTATTAGTTCTCTTATCATGTTGGCTGCCTGGTTAATTTTACGTCATTTATTCATTATCATTTGTCTCTTGCTGTTTTTGTTATTATTATTCTTCTTTCAATTTATTTTTTATCGCCTCTTCTGCCATTATTTTAATATCCAATATGGCGACTACGGTATCGAAAAGTTGAAAGGTTACGGTCTGCCATATTTGAATCGGGCATCATTTTAAAGCCCCACGAAGCTAGCAAAGATGGCCGACCTATCATCTTTATTTCATCAATACTATTAACATTGAGTCCGCCTCCCTTTTGCGCCCCATCTATTATGTCTGTTACAACGACAGCCGCTCTTTATTGCATTGCAGAAAGTGACAGCACATCGTCATTATTTTTATTATTAATCCTATTGTTATTATTATTATTAGTGGAGAGGGTGGTTACAATTTTAATACCGTCGATGTTAGCCTTAATATTTCGAAATTATTTGTTTTTCAAACTTCATAATTATTATTATTATTATTATTATTATTATTATTATTATTATTCCACTTAGTTTTTTTTCATCTTCCTCTTTATTATTTCTCGCCCACGTCATTTTATTGTACAGTATCTCTTATTTTCTGTTTTTTATCCTTGACTTTTTCTTTCTCTCTTTTATTGGTCGTTGTTCTTGGTGTCCTTGTTTTTCCTCTCCACTATTCGTGATTACTCTCTATTTTCTTCTTCTTCTTCTTCTTCTTCTTCTTCTGTTAGTTCTTATATACCCCCTTTTCTTCCACTACCTTTTTTTTATTATTTTCCTTTTCTATTTACTGCTTCTTGTATATTCTTATCGTTATTTTTCTTTTTTTCTTTTACAATCTCTCTTCTTTTCCTTTTCTATACTCCAGTTTTTATTTCTTTTCTTCTTCGTTATTCCTCTTCTATTATTTCTAATATCCTCTTTCTTCTTTTCGTTCTTCTTCTTTTTTGTACTTGTGCTTTTATTACTTTATTAAAACTTTTCTCTTTCCTTCTTGTTTTTCTTCATGTCATTGTCGCCAACTTTTTATTATCCGCCATTTTCTTTTCAGACTTCTTCTTCTTCTGCTTTATCGTCTGCTTTTCCTACTTCCGCTCCTCCTCCTTCTTCTTCTTCTTTTTCTTCTTTTTCTTCTACGAATTGAAATTTCTTCTTCTTCTTCTTCTTCTTCTTCTTCTTCTTCTTCTTCTTCTTCTTCCTTGAACTTGTGCTTTTATTACTTTCTTAAAACCTTTTCTTTCCTTCCTTTTTTCTTCAAGTCATTTTCTTTTCCGACTTCTGCTTTATCGTCTGCTTTTTCCTCCTTCTTCTTCTCCTTTTTCTTCTACAAATTAAAATTCCCTTTTCTTCTTCTTCTTCGTTTCTATTCTCTTTCTTCCAGCTAATCTGTATTTATTTTTCCTTTTTTCTACCTCATCTCTTCATCGTTTTCAACCATCATCATCATCATCATCATCATCAACATCATTCTTCTTCCGCGTTTTATATTTAAGCACCCCCACCTCGCACCCCTCATCATAAACAATGAGTCATTTATTTGTTCTATTTCATTTTCCCGCCCATTTTCCATTTTTGCTGTGGACTGTTTTTCGCTCATTTTTATGATTCTTCAATTCGTTGAATTATTCATATTTTCATAGTTCGGAGCTGTTCACGATCCAAGACAATCACTCGCAACCCCCACCCCAAATCTCACTTTTTCTTCTTTTTTTTGGCACACATACACACGCACATGCGCACACATACACACACATACATATACACGCACACATACGCACATACATATACACAAACACCATAATAATATCCTAATCTGTATCTTTTTTCAGTTTTTGGCACAACTTTCCTTAGACTTCTCATCGCATCTCTTTT